GGTTTAGGTGTTAGGATTTAGAGTCAGTTTACGGGTTTAGGGTTTAGGGTTTAGGGTTTAGGGGTTGAGGGTTTAGGGCTTGAGGGTTTAGGGGTTTCGAGTTTAGGGGTTGAGGGTTTAGGGTCTGGGGGTTTAGGGGTTGAGGGTTTAGGGGTTGGGGGTTTAGGGTCTGGGGGTTTAGGGGTTGAGGGTTTAGGGGTTGAGGGTTTAGGGGTTTAGGGTTTAGGGGTTGAGGGTTTAGGGCTTGAGGGTTTAGGGGTTTCGGGTTTAGGGGTTGAGGGTTTCGGGTGTAGGGGGTGAGGGTTTAGGGGTTGAGGGTTTAAGATTTAGGGGTTTAGGGGTTTAGGGTTTAGGTGTTCTCTTATTGAGGGTTGCCATGATCAGGCAACCATATTATTTACGATTGATTATTGTGTCATAAAAGTTAAGCTGCCGAGATCAACCGCTTTTAGGGTTCAGGGTTTAGGGCTTTCGGGCTTTGGGGTTCAGGGCTTTCGGGCTCTAGGCTCCAAGGCCTTGTGTTGAGGATGTTAGGGTTCTTGGGTATTTTTTCTCCTTTGGTTGACAAACTTCGCTATATGGGAGTTTCCGAAAATAGGGGACCTTAATAGAGTACCCTAAATAGTAGGATACTTATTATAAGGGCGCCAAAATAAGGTACCCCGGAAACTCCCATATTGGGCATAGACAAGCCGCAAAGCAAGAGCACATGAGCAGGTGCTGCACTTAGGAAACTACACTGCTGATCTCGGTCGGATGCTTGAACTTTATGAAAGATCAATCGAAGGGTTCAGGGAATGTGGTTTACAGTAAGGGTATGTAAGGGTCTAGTCTAGGGTATAGGGCTGTAGCACTTTTCGGGTTTTAGGGCCTAAGGTTCAAAGTTTAGAGAGTTAGTTCGCACGGAACTTGGAGTCAAGTCACACAGATCTAAGGCAGACATCACGAGACAGTATGTTTCTTGCGTTTGCCACAGCCCAAACCACCAAACCGTAACCACTAAAGCACCCAGACCTGAGGCATTGGTTCACAGCGAAGGGCAGGCCACGACTATGCCATCATGTCTACGCTTCGTAGTGAGGCTCTGGTCCCCTAAACACTAAACCCTAAAAGCTTAACACTAAACCCTAGACCCTAAACCCTGAACTCTAAACCCTAACCCTAAACCCTAAACCCTAAACCCTAAACCCTGAACCCTAAACCCTAAACCCTGAACTCTAAAGGGTTCAGGGTATTCCGAGGGCCTGAAGTTGCCCCGAGTCTCCTGCCGACCACTGGATGCCTTCTTTGAAGGAAGCCGTGTGGTAGGACATATACCTTGCGGATCTATGGGATTTAGGGTTTAGGGTTTAGGGCTTTGAATTTTAGAATAGGGTTTTGGGGTATACCAGACTAGACTATAATCATGATAAAGAATCCCCAAAATAGTATAGGTAATTGTTAAGGCCCCTACATTAGGAAGCCCAGCCCAGTTCTGGTATGTCACTGCACTAAGTTATGAAACCGCCTTTTATCGGAAACCACTCAAGGCCCACAGCTGAAGTGGCTTGCTATTGTGATTTATGGTAGAATCGTCGATTCCTTGCGGAGGCGTTAATCGGCTCTCTGGATATGAGGTAATCTTGTTGAGTGAGCTCAACTCGATTCAAAGCCTGCGTACTAGAGCCCTGATCCTTTACCGGGGCCAACGCGCTTTACACCGAGTTTCTCCAAAAGCGGAGCCGTAACTCCAAAACCCCCTAAACTGTTCAGATCCAACCTTAAGCTCTTATTGCGCCACACATCCCCAACCGAAAATGGGACTTAGTAACTAGGGTTATGCATATAATAATAAGGTACCTGCAAAGGTCAGCCTAAGGGATTACATGCCGATTCTGGTACCCCCCCCCGTAAAGGTTAAACGTGACCAGCGACTAAGAACATACCGGCTTAGGATCTAGGGTACAGGCTCTGCAGAATCTTTCCGACTCCCCAAACCCTGAACCCTAAGCCCGAAATCCTAAAGCCAAAACCCTGACTAGGTTCCCCAGTAGCCCCTTAATAATAATAAGGGTGCCCTTTTTCCTACTGTTGGGTTTTAATAAGGACTGGGGAACCTAGCTGAAGACGGTGACGGGTTGCCACTTGCCCTCCGGAATGCCGCTTACCTTCGCCGTGTCCCAAGGCGGGAGGACTCTCGGCCAAGCCTGCGTCCACAGACTTTAGGGTTACCCATAGGCCCTAAAGCAGTTCCTTTTTGGGGCTCATATTTAGAATCCTTTAATTTAACCCCAAAAAGGAACTACTATGGGGTCTATGGGTAAGGGTGCAGGGATTTAGAACTTTTGGGTTTAGGGATGCTTAGGGTTCAGGGTTAGTCTTTTGGCACTATTTTGTTGCTATTTCACTCGTGCAAATATGTCGTTGTTTGTGTCTTCGTGTGCTGTTTGCTTTGGAGGGAGAGGGTTGTCTTTCAGTGCTGCATCGGTATAGCCGGTAATGGTTCCCATTGATTGAAAGTAATTCACTGCGACATCCATTCAATACTCGTAACCCATCCCAAGGAGCCACGAAGGTCTCGTCGAAGTCGCCCGGGGCTCCGGGAGTAAGCACCTGGAAGTCGGCCCAAAGACCAGCCCCTAAACCCTAAACTCTAAACCCTAAACCCTAACTTTAGGATTTTGCGTCTGGGATTCTCCGGCTTCTACCTAGCCCTGGCCCTACACCCTCTGAGGAATGGCGGATTGCTGCCTCCAGCTTGTAATTGTAGGGGCCTTCATAATTTTAATAGGGTTTTGGGCTCTTCTATAGTATAACCATAATCATAATCAGGAACTCCCCAGAAAAATAAAGGTAATTATAGCCCTAAACCCTAAACCCTAAACCCTAAACCCTAAACCCTAAACCGTAGGTAATTATTGAGGCCCCTACATTACGTTGCAGAGGCAGGGGTTCGGACGCCGGGGGTTTCAGCCTGCGTGTGGGGATTGTTGTGGAGGAGGTTGAACTTGAAGGCGTGACTTACGGTTTAGGGTTTAGGGTTTAGGGTTTAGGGTTTAGGGTTTAGGGTTTAGGGTTTAGGGTTTAGGGTTTAGTCAACCCGCATTTTAAGCCCATAACGACATCAATACCAAGTTTGGCTTCCTGCGAAAAGCGAGCACTTTAACTTTCGCCCTGCATCCTACGCCATTCTTTGGCTTCAGGGTACTAGAGCCTAAACCCCAAACCCCAAAGCCCCAAGCCCCCTGAACCCTAAACCCCCAAACCCCAAACCCCTAAACCTCTAAACCCTGAGCCCTAAACCCTAAACCCCTAAACCCCTAAACCTCTGAACCCTGAGCCCTAAACCCCTAAACCGCTTTAAGGGTTTCCCTTCGTAGCCTTGGGGGGGTTGAGCCTTGCAAAGGCTAAGCGTGAGGGCGCACGTCTTCACCCTAACTTAGCCCTAAATAGGGTTTAGGGTTAAATAGGGTTTAGGGTTTAGGGTTTAGGGTTTAGCCCTAAATAGGGTTTAGGGTTTAGGGGTTAGGGTTTAGGGTAGCCTAAGCCCCACCCAAAAACGTCAGGGCTTCGCGTGGCTGTGTATTTGGGGCCTTAGTGACCACGGTAGGGTTTCGATGTATATCGAACTAAACACTCAAAACAGAAACCCTAGAAAATCGTATTTGGCACTCATTCCCGCTTCCATATCAGGGTTTATTCTGGGCTTCCTATAGTCTCCATTGTAGTTCATTGTTTTGGTTTAACCAAATTTATATTAAGGATTTTATAAGGTATCCCCAAAAAAGGAACTACAATGGAGACTATAGGTAATCTGTGAATCATTGCCTACTATATCGAGTACTACAGCCCCTAGGCCCCTATATGGGTACCCTAAACCCTAAACCCTAAACCCTAAACCCTAAACCCTAAACCCTAAACCCTAACCTGGGGGGTTGGGACTTGGTGTTGACGACCGTACTTCGCGTCTCAGGCACCGGTGCGCCATGGCGCCGCCAGCTCAGGCCATCATCTGACGTGGCGAGGCCTAGGCCGGAACGCTAGGGTTTAGGGTTTAGGGGTTTAGGGTTTTGGGTTTAGGGTTTAGGGGTTTAGGGTTTAGGGTTTTGGGTTTTGGGCACCCAAAGGCCCCATAGTAGTTCCTTTTGGGGGTTCATACTTAGAATCCTATAAGGTAATCCCCAAAAGGAACTACTATTGGGGCCTATGTGTAGAGTATAGGGTTTACGGGTTTTTGGGTTGACGGGTTTAGGGTGAGGGGGTTCAGGGCTTAGGATCTGAGGGTTTCTGCCATTGAGGGCCTCTGCTGAGAAAAGAGAGACCCACATAGCTTTCAGTACAACAAACAGCATGCAAAAGAAGCAGCGACAACAGCGCTTGAGTCACAGCAATGGTGATTGTAATCACACTAGCTTCCCCAGTAGCCCCTTAATAATAAGGGTACTCTTTTTCCTACTAGTTGGTTTTAATAACGGAGCCACAAAGAAAAAGGGCTAAAGGGTACTACTGGGCAACCTAGCACATCTCCCCAAGCAGCCTCGGTAGAATGGATTTTGGAGCGCACCAACACCAACTCTCGGATCCTCAACCACGGCTCATAGGCGCTTCGCCATGGGCTCGGCTTCAGAAAGTGAGGGGTGTGTGTATGTATGTATGTATGTATGTATGTATGTATGTATGTATATATATATATATATACACATATTTCCACTCCATAACATGTACTGAATAATTGATATGTTACATCCTACATATTATATGGGTAGTTCTCTAACTTAGGGTCCCTTTTCGGTCCCCAATATAGTACGGCACCCCTATACAAAGGACCCTAACATGGATCCTAATTTAGACAACGGCCCATTTATCTTGTATTACATTGTGCAGTCTCTCTGACAGAGGCATGGCCCTAAACCCTAAACCCTAAACCCTAAATCCGGAACCCTAAACCCTAAACCCTAAACCGAGACAGATCAGCTGCCGGGCCGGCCATGTATGGTCCACAGGGACGGTGCTGCTCTTCTGCTCGGGTTTAGGCTTTCAGGGTTTAGGGCTTGTGGGTTTAGGGTTTAGGGTTTAGGGCTCATGGGGGCTGGGGTTTCGGTTTGGGGTTCTAGTTGAAAAATACCATAACTATAACCTGTAGGCTCGCACTTTAAGCCCGAATACATACTTTATGACGGCCCTACGCAAAAGTAGGAGTTGGGTTATGGGAAACTGAAGATAGTTTCGGACGCGGGCCCATCTGCATGCTCAATGTAATCAAGCTCCCTCCCCTGCATTGGGATTATGAAGGGGCTGAATGATAATTTTAAATTAAGCTCCCCCAACTCTAAAATTCCTTACAAGGCCCCTTTCATGAAACCTTTGGACATTTTAAGTTAAGCTCCCCCAACTCTAAGATTCCTTACAAGGCCCCTTTCATGAAACCTTTAGACATGCTCCTAAGTCCCCATTAAGTCCCTCATAAAACTTTGCTTTCACCACAATATTGAGGTCGCAAAAAATGTTGTGGTCATTCTTTCCCTAGCCAAAGAAGTTACCTACTATATAGGGTACTAGAGCCCCTAGGGCCCTATATAGCAGGCACCTTGCGGGGTTAGGGTTTAGTTGAGGGCAAAACTTGAGTTCGGGGACCGCGCCGATCTGCATGCGGATGCCCGGTCGCGGCACACCCTCTAGGCCGCCTGAGAAGGAAATCTGCCTGTAGTCTCCATTGTAGGGTTTAGGGTTTAGGGTTTGGGGTTAGGGTTTAGGGTTTAGGGTTTAGGGTTTGTAGTTCCTTTTTGGGGTTACCTTATAAGATCCTAAGTATAAAACTGGTTAAACCCAAAGAAGGAACTACAATGGAGACTACAGGTGGAATCGGTTTGTTTAAGGTCTAGTCTAGGACATTTTCAGGTGGGTAGTTACCGTTAGGAGCCTTATAGAAGGTTTATATACCTTATGGAAGCCTGAAAGAAGCCCTATATACCCTAAAAACCCCACCTGTAGTTCCTTCAAGTGAGGGTCTGGGGTTTCAGGTTTATGCAGACCCGGGTTTGGAGCTACTAGCAGATACTGGACTACATACGGCTGTAAGCGGGTTCACATGGCTTCAATCTGGCCCTTAACCCTAAACCCTAAACCCTAAACCCTAAACCCTTACGTTCTAAGGTTGAAACCATGGGCCGCTAGTATGGGCCCTTACCCCTGGGACCCTTATGTACCTACTATATACCGTATTATGTACCCTTAAGGGACCCTAGAACCCCCCCAAGGGCCCATATTAGGGGCCCATACTTCTAACCTTGGAAAAGTGCTTAAAGGTTGCGGGCTGGCAGGCTTGAGAAGAGTCTGATATTGAAATGTTGATCACGGTTGCTGGGCTTTGAAACGGAGACCCCGAAGAAGATCCCATAATGGATGGGGATTACGGCAGGGATCCGCCAGAACCTATCACCCCTCGGCTCCAGGTCCCTAAATCGAGTCGAAAATGCATCGAATGGTCGGTGCTGAGATGTGCTGAGTCTCACAAAAAACCGTTTGCGGTCTATGCAGGGACACTACTCGTTTATCAAGCTCTGTCTACGGAACATGGTGAGCCAGACTCTTCATCTGCGCACCTTACATTCTTACAACGAAGCTGACACTTCCTCCCAAAGCGCTAAGCCAAGCAGGTGGTGATGCAAGCCAGCCGCCGCCGAAGTAGTACATCCACAGCGTGCCGTTTGGCAGCTCCACCACGTCACCTCACAACAGGTCGAGGCCCGAAGCGCCCGTTAAGTTCAATATATATATATATATACAGATATATTGTATATTATGTATATTCATATGAACCTATGTGTATATTGACTTTCGTTTAGGCATTAATACTCTAAGTAGTGGTTGTGTTTGTATTTTAGTACTGTATACTACTGTAGGTACAAGTCGTAGCAAAAGCACGAACGATAATGGCGCTACATGGTTCTTAGTGTCTGCACATGGACGCATTTAGTTCATGTATGCATCTAAGTGGGCAGTAGAGGTAGTTGTTCCGAACACCCATGCCCCCAATGAGTCATCTGGTCTTCTCCTGTTTGGGCTCTACACTGGCATAACATGATGATCATGCCACGTACCCCCACGCGAGCCTAAGCTTACTAGTCGACAAGCTCGCAGTGGTTCTTGTTCGAGGAGTTTTTGGTTCCAAAGTTAAGTCAAAGTTTGAGAGCTTTGGGGATTTGAAGGACCGGAAGCATGTACTAAGCACAGAATCGGTGGACTTGACACATTCGAGACAGGCTTTGGGGTCCTTCACACTATAATCATGACAAGCATTGTTGCCTATTGCTAATGATTCTGGCCCACATACTATCTGGGATAGGTGTGCCTTGCATAAACCCTCAACCTCAAACCCTAAGCCCCCCAAACCCTAAACCCTAAACCCAATGCAAACCCTAAGCCCTAAACCCTCAAAACCCCCAAAGCCGGGCCCGGCGCCGACTCCGACGTGGACACAGTCGAAGGCGTCCTTGGGCTTAGGATTTGGGGTTTAGGGTTTTAGAGTTTAGGGTTATAGAGTTTAGGGTTTGGGGTTTAGGGTTTAGGATTATAGGGTTTAGGGTTTGGGGTTTAGGGTGAAGGGAGTCGAAAGCGTCCCTGTCAGCCATGCGATGCCCTTTTGAACTTATGTACCCTCTTGAGGAAATCGTACGGGGAACTGGAAAACTGTGGCTTTTGAGGGCTTGGGTAATTCCCAAATTCCGACCCCCCAAAGCTTTCAAGAAGCGGATCACCATTTGTCCGACCAGAAACCCACAGTGCGAAAGCTGTGAGGGCCTTCGTGTTGTAGTAGTTTTCAGCTACGCATGTTTACACCGGAGTGTTCTAGGGCTTGCGATTGGGGCGCATGGATTTGGATTACGGTTCGAGCGTTTTCGGGTTTAGGGTTCAAGGCTTCAAGCAGCCGCTCAGCCCAGGCCAAGAGGAAGCGGAAGCTACAACACCAGGAAGCCAGAAAGCCAAACACCTAACTAAAATCCAGCTGAAGGCGCAAATCCAAAATGCCAAATCCCTTTATATGTAGGAGCCTTATTAATTAGAATAGGGCTTTGGGCCCCGTTATACTACACTTGAAATAAGGAACCCCAAAAATTAACATTGTTAGTTATTTATAGGCCCCTGCATTACCAACAAAATCACCTCCCTTCCTTCGCAGCCCTGCATCCTGACATGCCGGACTCCGACCACAAGACACAACCAGACATCTGCCCCAAATCCCTAAGCATAACCCCTGTAACAGGGGCTTAAGTAATTACCTATATATACTATTTTGCGGGTCCTCATTATAATTTTACTGTAGTATAAGGGGCCCCCAAACCCTATTCCAATTATTAAGGCCACTACATTAAAGCATGTGCCTCATTTCAGAAGTACCGGCTGAGTCTGCGAAGTCCACGAGCCGCATTGAGGGTTAGGGGTCGATGGAACTTCAAGGGTTTAGGGTTTAGGGTTTAGGGTTTAGGGTTTAGGGCTGCGCTGTAGAAATATCTGGTAATACACATATGCTGTCACCCAGCATACGAAGAGTGCTGTTGTCATTGATCTAGTCTTACTTGCAGAAGGGTTGAACTACCCCAAACGAAGATAAAGGCAAACTGCTGGAAGTAGTAAGGAAAGCTGGCTGCCTGGCCTCATCCTCACTGGGATCCAGACAGGCGCCTCCCTGTGCTTCAGGTTTAGGTTTAGGCTTTCGGGTAGCGTTGAGGGTTTAAGGTCCTTCCACTTCGAGGCAAAGCTTAATTAAGTTGCATGTGCTTCGAACCTGCTGGAAGGTGTTGGATTCATAGGCTTTTTGTCTCACAACTCATTGTTGGTTTTGGGGGTTAGGAATAGGCTTTCACTTCACTTTTCGCCTTTGCGCTGGTTAGTTGTGGCAAGAATCAACAGATGGTTCATATCAAGGTGATGCTTTGATTTGAAGAAAAGTCAGGTGGACAACACTCAGCACATAATGATGCGACCACAGCATAGTCATAGCCTGCACCCCCTAAACCCTAAACCCTAAACCCTAAACCGGCCACATGCAGGCCGAGGACGACAAAAGCCAGAGAAGTGTAACGGGTGACACGTCCATCCGATGTCTTAATCCTAAACCGAAGCTAGCTGCGCTAGCCCCAAAACCGAGAACCCGGAACTCATAACCCTGAAAGCCCTGATCCCAACTAAAACCCTATCAAGACTCATACAGCTGCTATGAAACCCGTAACCCCCTCCAAAACCCCCAAACCCATCCAAAACCCTAAGCCCGCCTCCAGAGGTCCTCGCAACCTCCGCCACCTGCCACTGCACCGGGTCATTGGAATCTGTAAATGATTTTCTACAGGTGCTTTCGGGTTGAGGGTCTAGGGTCCTTTATAGGTTTGATACGGTCTGCCAAAGCAACGGGCTTTGCATCGGCGCCTTATGTAAGACCATACCTATGGTCCAACATAAATGATAATTAGTGCATTGCTGCGAATGCTGGCCGCAACAAGAATGCCAACACAAGGGGTCTCAGAAGCTATAGGGTTTTAGGGATCTAAAGCTTCAGCGCTCGAGGGCCCATGCTTCCTTATGTATATATATATATATATGCATACACACACACATACACCTGTGCAGACATGCTGTCAGCCGTTGCTTCTCTTGGTTGAGCAAAGGTACTTGCCGCAGGAGGAATATGTTGCATGTTCGCACTGATCGCACACCAAGGTTGACATAATAACCCATACCATTATTGGGACTGATCTGAGTAGGACCGCAATAGAAAAAGAGAATAGAGACATTGCGTCACACGTATAAACGCAGATGCCAACAAGGCTGCAACATCACAGTGCCCGTGACCCGAATGTAATATGTACGGGAACCCCGCGTGAAGACCTAAACCCAAACCCTGAGGCTGAAACCCTGCTGGAGGCTTATGGTTGTCTTCACTAACTTCTGCACCGCATGCTAAAACATCTAAAACATCGCACATAATATAGAGGCCGTAAAACCTTCAATAGGCTTCGGGGGCACATCTTACCTCATGTATATTAAGGAGCCCCCGAGTAACAACATGGGCAGTTGTTCGGGGGTATATTATATCAGTTTGTGAAAGAGCCCCGAATTTTTCGGGCCCCTTAAACCCTAAACCCTAAACCCTAATTTTTCGGGCCCCTTGAACAACTCCCGCCCTCAGACACCGGCCTCGTGCCATCTACAGACGTCGCTGCTCCGATTCGTCCTGAGGGAGATGATACATGGGTAGTTCTCTAAATTAGGGTTTAGGGTTTAGGGTTTACGGTTAGGGTCCCTTTTTGGGTCCTAAATGATAGTACGGCACCCTTATAAAAAGGACCCTAAGAGGGACCCTAATTTAGAGAACTACCCACATCTCAATGAAAGAGTCTCGGGCTTCGGACTGCGGATGGGCTGTAGGGTTTAGGGCTTGGGGTTTACCTATAGTCTCCATTGTAATTCCTTTTTTTGGGTTTAACCATATATATATATATATATTAAGGAATATATAAGGTATCCCCCAAAAAGGGCCTAGAATGGAGACTATAGGTAGGGCTTGGGGTTTAGGGGCTTTGGGCTGAGGTCTGTAGCCACCTGTAGTTCCCGCCAGGGAACGAACAACCTTGTTGGCCTTGACTCCGGCCCTACCCAGAGAGCCCGAGACCCCCTCAATTACTTGGAGGATCACGGGACTTAGTAAGAAAGGTTATACGTCCCTTAATTGGGGTTATAAGTATAATTACCCTAATTATATCCCTACTTTATAAGTCCCTTAATTGGGGTTATAAGTATAATTACCCTAATCATAACCCTACTTACTAAGTCCCATGATCCTCCGATTAGGAATACAGGAGCACATGACAAAGGGCCCAACATAATGATGTCAGGTACATTCCTGAATTAAGCAGGTATTGGGCTAGCTGGGTAGCTTATTGGGCTCAGGGAGGCATTGTAGTGGGATTTATTAGATATTTCTGCATGGCTTCAGCTGTTTTCGGAGTTTCTGGGTAGGGGGCCCCAGCATGAATCTCTAAGGGCTTTAGGAGGGACCCGTAATAGGGACCCTTGTAGGTTATTGGGGTTAATTTGGGGACTACCTGGCTATATAAGCGGTATATAAGGACGAAACAATGGCTATTTAAGGTAATGGGATTAAGGGTCCCTATTAGGGGTCCCTCCTAAAGTCCTTAGAGAATCGCCCTAACCGACAAACTCTAAACTAAGCATTACAGCCGAAAACTTAAGCCTTGAATTGAGTGTACTGGCCCAACAGGATTTGTTTTAGGAGTGTCAACCGCTCCCTACTGTTTTATTGCACAACAGGAAAATGTGCGCTGAGCGCGTAGGCTTAGGAATCAATCGATCGCCGAAGAGAGGCTTGCGCTGCAACAGTTGCTTGAGTCGGAGGAGATCCCTTCTGTGCTCTTCTAGGCCGGAGTGGTCGAGGTAGTGGTTAAGGTATAATACTGCTTGTGCGGAAACGAGCGCCGTAATATACCCAACAAAAGGTTACCTGCTGAGCGCTGCGAGATCCTGTGAACCCCGAGTCTTAAGCCCTGAAGGCCAAAGCCCCACATATTCTCTCATCGCCATACGTCTTCAGTACGACACTCTTTTGGCTGCAAAGCTGTCCCTGTAGCCCTAAACCCTACCAAATAGCATATGGCCCCATGTTCACGGGATATAATTGTAGCGTAGCCTCTCTAGGTTCCCCAGTAGCCCCTTAACAATCAGGGTACCCTTGTTCCTAGTGCTGGGTTTAGGGTTTAGGGTTTAGTGCTGGGTTTTAATAAGGGAACCCACAAAGAAAAAGGGCAAAAGGGTACTACTGGGGAACCTAGGACTCTTAAGCGACAGGCGGACCTGTGGGAAGGAAGGCATCGACCCCCTTGGCCCACGTTGTGCCTCTTTCAGATTCAGGCGATTGTTCATTTACTCTATAGCTATGTCTGTATCAAAGGTCTTCGATTGGGTCTATAGGGGTTTGTGGGTCGAGCATTTAGGGGCGATGGCGTAGAGATTAATTAGAGACTGTCAAAAGGATCTCATGAAATCCTGGCACTGATTGAGAATCTCTCAAGCAAACATCGAGTAGTGTTGAATGACGAGTGCTCACCCTTCCGAGCTTGCACCTACTTCGTGCCCCAACCCAGCCACAAAACCTGTCAAGTCTATGTAAGCCCAAGCCTCAAATCCGACATCCTCAATGTACGCTGGGTCCCTTTAGATATTAGGCCTCTGCAAGTACGATAGCTCATTTAAGCTGGCATCCCCCTTGGGACCTGTTCGACATAAAGAACGGGAACACATCTGTGGCTGTGAAGTTTCATAATGAGCGAAAGCAAAGGCGGGTTAGCAATAATTGCTGCACACCCCAAGAACATATACTGTAAGCTGCCAAACACTGCAGGTGAAGCGGCTGACTAAGGGTATTATGGAAGCCTGAATCGTTTGACTACGGTACTCGGGGTCTTGTTACACGATGCAATATGGGTAGTTCTCTAAATTAGAGTCCCTTTTAGGGTCCTTTTTATAGGGGTGCCGCACTATATTGGGGACCTAGAAGGGGACCCGAATTTAGAGAACTACCCATATTGAAAAAGTAAAAACACCCTGTCCTAGCCTCAGAGCTTCCCCCTAGTACCCAAAAGGTTAGCCTTTTTCACTATGGCAGGCTTACCCAGAAGCACCATAGTAGTTGCTTTTTCGGATTACCTTATAGGATTCTAAANNTACTATGGGGCCTATGGGTAGGCAGGCAAATGAACACCCACAAGGGTTCAAGGAGACTTATGCAGCTACTAAATCATTTCGGGGTGCTGGAAGATCATGCTAAGGGCTTATGAGGGTTTAGAGGTCGCAAGGACTTATTCGAGTTTACGGCTTTGCAGGGGTAAAGGTTTGGGCTTTGAGCTTATCGTCTAGGATACAAGACGGTGATTTCCCATAGAGCTGGAGGCAAGTGAACGTCTTGCATCCGCCTTCCCGCCCATAGTACCACATTCGCCATTCTCGGCCTTCACACACATTCGCATTTCTCATACATGCATGCATGCTCGCACACGGACACACTACATTCACACACAGAGACAGACCGGCAGGCAAACAAACAGAGAGACGCGAGAGACAGACAGACAGACAGACA